TAACGATTATTGGGTTCAGGAGCTGCTTGAGGCTGTGGTTGAGGAGCTAGAGAGCTGAGTTTAAAACTTTTATCTCGCACGTGCATAGAGAATATGGTTTCAGCCCTGCAAAGTTTCAGCTTTCTACGCCGCCTGGTTGGCGAAATCGTTTCCCACCAACAAATTTCTTTGGGGTCCCGTATGCGGAGTTTAGGCGTGCATGGAGAAAGATCTTAAAACGGGAGGATGACACACGGGGTAGGAACATATATCCAAAGTTTCTGCCTCCCAACTTTCCTAGTTGCTGAGATGAAAGTGGGTGACAAAATGTACTCGCTTCCCGAACACACACACAGACAGCCTCTCGGTAATATGCGTTTTTGCTGGCTGCATTAGCGCTATAACGCTGCACAGTAAAAACTTATAACTAGTGTGCAATCTATTTTAGGAGCTGAACTGAACTAGGTACGATAGCAATCGGTCTACTTGTCGCAGAATTCAGCAATTCTAATTTGCCCAAAATATGGTCGTAAATTTCAGTGACTGGTAACGACATTTGGAAGAAGCTTGTGCGACTATGTAGCGGATATCTTAAGATGACTGTCAGCATTTGGTCATCTTACAGTGAATTTGTAAATATACTGTCCAAAACATTATGAAACTGGGATAACGACGCATGACGACCAGAGGAATTTGTGTTAAAGCGTGGAATAAAATTTCAGGATTGTCTGTAGTGGTGTAAACCAAAACAGCAGCCTGGAGAACGTTTTTGAAAAGAAAAAACACTGGTTTTGCTTACCCTCTGTCTTTCACTGCATTTTGCATTTTTAAAATACCAACAAAAAATTTGGGAAGTGCAGAGTTATCTGTCATTCATACACAAAATTTTATAAAAAACCCGGCCTTGTTTGACACGCAGGAGTATTCAGGTGTGTGCGAAAAAGCACAAAGAAGGCAGCGATATTCGTAACACTTTTTTCAGACTGGTAAAATCAGCGCAGGGAATGAAAATGAAGAAACTCGGAACCTTTAAAGTACAATAATAACTATTCTCCACGACAGGTTAAAGAGTTGTCTTGGATGAATTGCTGGCAAGATTTGGACCTAAATTTTCAGTTTTCTGATGATTCTTACGCCAGGAATGTTGGCAAGAGACTAATTTCTTATGACTGGAATTTTGGTTTCTAAGACCTGAAAGTCTATTCTAGAATTTGAAAGAGAAATTGCATTGATAGAGCTGGAAGAATGGAGGCGGATGGCATTTCCGCATCAAATCAGTGGTGAGAAGAAAAATTCCTCGATAAAATTCTGTAGGTCTGGGCATGAAATCAAGAAACTCATAATGACTTGTGTGATATCGCCTCAACTTGCAGGAGGTGGATAGAGTGTACGGTATCTA